TATAAGAATTCCTTTGAAAATTGAAATTAAATGACATTTTTCATAATCATTATTAAACTATTATACAAGAATATCCTTGTATATATTTATGTAAAAAGATCCCTATATAGTTGACTTAATTTCCAAATGAAATAAGGGAACAGAAATTATTTTATGAGTAGCACACGTTTTACAAATAAATTTTAAGAAGTCTAAGGAATACAGTAGGTAATTTACAATACGAAAAAAAACTGGTTTTCATGAATTTTATAGCCTTAACATTATTTTGTTTAGTAATTTGTACGTGGATTTGTATATATATGCCTGAGTTACAGAATGTCATATTACACGTGTATGGAAATAAAAAATTTAAATAAAATAAATGAGAAAGGGATGTGCACAGAGAATGAATCCTTTAATATATAAAATCTAATGTAATTTATTATTTAAAGGTTTCATTATATGCAAGGATTATAAGGTCACTATGGTATTACTGGTTCTAAATAATAAAAGGAACGTAAAAATTTTTAAAATAAACAAATAGAATTTATTCATATTCAGGTATTCTAGTATTCAAATCCTTTGTTTACTTCATTGTATGTTCATATACAAATATTTCTACAAAGAACAAGGAAAATAACAATAAAAAAAGTTAAAATAAATTTCATAAAAAAATTTTCTTGACCACATTTGCAACGAAATGGAAAAACATAAAAAAAAATATAAAAAAACTAATTTTTTCAACTCCTTTATTAAGGACTCTCCGAATATTATTTCGAATTTTTTGGTTATTTTTTGGGAATAACACAGAAAAAAAGAAGAAAACTAAGGCAAAATATTACAAAAACAGAAAAGAATTAAAAAAAAAACTAAAGTTGAATAACTTTTCCTTTTACCCTTGTTTACTTTTAGTTTTTTTTATATTTTCTACAGTTAGTCATTAAAGGTAATTTTCTGTAGTATAATGTAGGTAATGAAATACCTGCGAACAAAAATTAAGGGGCATTTATTATTTTTCTAAATTCTATTTTTTCTTTTTTTTCTTCGTTAATAGGATTTTTAAACGTGTATATTATTACCTTTTTTTTTTGTGTCCATTTTGAAAATTTATTCTCCCCTAAATAACTTCAATTATTTCGTCATTCTTTCAAATATAGAATTTCCTATTTCCTATTCTTCTATACCGTTATTATATATGTGAACAAAATGTACCTATAGAATTTCATTAATATTTTCCCAAAACATCGTTAAAAAGTGTATTGATGATTGAATTTTTTGTTTTCTTTTTTAGTTTACCTCATATTTTGTATAACAGTATAAATAAATGTGGTTTTTTTCAGTTTCATATCCCCATTTTCCGTTTTTTTTTTCTATTGGTTTTTTTTTTGGGGTGAATGAACGTAAAACGCGTGTATAGGAAAATTTTTTATTTTGGAAAATTTTCCGTTTTTCCAAAAATAGCTGAAATATATAGAATAATACTATTATATAAGTCAAAAAGCCCATAATATACAAGTGAATAGCTTAGAATGGTGGAAAAGTGAAGAAAGTCTTATCTTGTTAAAGAATATTTGAAGAAATTATGTTTTTCATAAAATTCACATTTAAGGAGAAAACATCAATAGAAACAATTTATGTATTTTCAGCTTCCGTTTTGTAGTGTTTAATGTAGGGTCACAGTAATGTAATATTGTGCATATTGCCTATCTTTAGGGGCAAAAATTTATTGTGGAAATCAGGAAAAGGAGATAATAAACAATACAGAGGTTCCTTGAAACCGAACTCAAATTCTAAATAAGCTAAAAAATTTTGTATTTTTAAAAACGTGATTAGAAAACGTTCCGAATGGATTTTTTTTTTCACATGTACGAATTTTCTATCGAAAATTATTTCATTTTATTCTCTTACAGACAAGCATATTAAACTAACGTCTAACAGGTTCACAATCTCTTGTTGAATTGCCGGTTTTGTACGTAATTTGTGAAGCAAATTGTGAGTTATCGGTATAAAATCATGCTGTATAGGAACGGAGACGAATAATATACGGAGCCTTCAATTTATTTTGTTCTCAACGATCTTTACTGTAAACTTTAGTTTATTTGTCATACTGCATTACTATTTTGTTAAAAGGGAAAAATATTATAAAATACCAGAAACTTTCAAGTTTTTATTATAATACTTTTTTACTAAAACCCTTATTTTTGGAATAAATTTACTTAAAAATTTTCTTATATATGCAAATCAAATATGGAAATAAAATATTAATATTTTAATAAATATAAAAATATTGTATAAAAGTTTATCAGAAATTTGAATACACGGGACGGAGTATTCATAAAATTACAAATTATAGTTCCCAAATGAATATAGACTCCCAGTTTTTATAATATATAGGTTAAGCACATTTTAAATATTGATTTTTATTCTTGTTTTTTGAAAATTCCTATTTAATAATAGAATACCTTTAGAGATTTTTGTATATATTCTTCCTTAATATACAAGGATAACGTTATTTTTATTCACGGAAAATTTTTTTTTTATATAGTTTAAGAATTCAACTCTATGAATAACATTTCATATCCACTATTCAAGCACCACAGATGTAAAGCCTTACTATTTTAAAAAACTAAAAATATAGTTCAAATACCTTTTTGGAGGAAGATGTTTGTTAAACTTTCCGACCAAAAAAAACAAAATATAGAGATAAAAACTTCTCTTATACATGAAAAATATTTTAACTTTTTAATGCAATACTCATAAATATTCATATACGACGTATCTAAGTACATACATAAATTTCTCTCTCACATAAATTATATTTTATGTTTAACTATAGTATATAGGCTTGTTAAAATTCTACGCAAAATTTCTTACACGTATACGTATGTAAGTGTGTATATACATGCACATGTACTAAGGAAACGTATTTTAACACAATATAGGGCATTACACTTTTGCGAACATTTAAATATTGTACGTGATTTCATAAGGGAAACGAATAATATTTATGAGAGTTGCAATTATAGGAATGTATAGAAATTTGTATATAAAGAAACTGTAACGGCAGCAGTTTTCAAAGAAACCTTTAAATAATCACTTTCCTCTTATTCCAGTTTTACTATAGCATATAATTAAGCATAAAGTGTTTACATTTCATCCGAATTTTGTAATTCAGATAAGTTGTACAATAAATGAGAATTACGTGAAATTTTATATTCACTTAAACTTTTCTAATTTATTGTGCTTTCTTTGCAATAATTTTTAAAAATTAATTCTGTTGACAACAAATTGTGTATTTTTGATTCCATGATAACCATCATTTTTATTCAAATTTGCGTGATATAGAGACAAGTATTGCGTAAGTCAACTTTAACATGGTTCTTAATTGTAATGCACACTCCTATTCTCCATATTTTAAATATTTTGGCCGAACACATATATATTCAAATATATTAGTCAATATATTAGAGAAATTTTCTATTCGAAGTTAATTAATTCCCATGCAACACCAATCCCAAAAACCATCTACCGGAACCAATTAACCTCCTTTAGAAATCTCAAAATCCGTGTCAAAGACTCCCTTGACAGACCCTTCAGGTCATCATAAAAGAAGGCCTCCCCCAGGATAAGCTTATTCTACCACATCAGAGAGGCACTGCTTTCCATATCCAGCTCCGCAATATCTTGACTTTTGCGACAGTCATTCAAACACCCACTTGGTCATTTTATTTTAATTAATTGGCCTTTCCTTTTCTTGTTTTGTTTTAAATGTGGCAGGCAGTATCTACTTGTTTGAGCAAACCACAAGGAATTCTCATTTTCAATTTTTGATACTTTCTGCCGTTCAACAGTAATAAAAATTTTTATAAATGCATTTTATTAATTTTTGTATGCGCATATTAAAAAAATTATTAATATTCTGTTGCTTAAGAATCCTTACAAAGCTAATTAAATTTTTAATATTTTTCAAACAACACAATAACCAACTTGTTTACAACGCAATCTAATGAATGAACTACACAAAGAATTTTGCATTCTTCATTCAACAATATTGCATGAATTGTAACTCTATATAACTAGAGTTTTGGTCTTGAAAACCATAAAAAATCTTCTTTAGATAAAATTTTTGCAAACTTTTTTATACACAAAATTTTTTAATAAATTGTTTTTGAAATCCAAAGTGATGGAAAAAATCCTTTCAACTTTTCGAATTCAATAAAATTCTTTCTCCTAAACGTTTTTCCAAAAAGAACAAAATTTTCACATTTTTTCATTTTTTAATATGATTTTATTGCTTTTCCAGTTCAATTTATGTACTGGAAACCAAAATAAATTGTAACATTGCAAAATACAAAACTAATAAATCAGTCTGGAAAGTTAAAATTTAAAATCAGATTTGTTAGATTCATGACTTTCATAAAAAAATAAAAAAGAGACAACAATGTCGGGTATTAAAACCCCCCTACATTTTTATTTTTTAAAATAAGACTAAGAAAAAATATTTTTGGCTTTGTTTTTAACAAAATTTTATAAATAGTTCGAGACGCAAACATTTTTTTTTAACAATGCTAAAGAAAGTAATGGGAAATAATTTTAAAGTTTAATATGTTCGAAAATATTGAGGTTTCCAAAGATTCCCTACTGTAAGCAAGCAATTCTCTCCCATTCATGTTCCCAATGCGCCAGCAAAAGTAGCCGTCCATTTTAGTTTTGCTTGAATGATCTAACACTGGAAGGATAACGACCCCTGAGTACATCAAGCAATAAAATAATTTTTAGAAAAACCAACAAGACCCGCTTTTGCTTTCTTTACTAATATAGCGATCTACTAAAATGCTATTACACCTGCCTGCTGTCTATAAACTGCTATTACCCACCCCTGCCACGGGTAATTATTTGTATTCTGTTGGTATAGAGGAAAATTTTTTAAGGAGGAAATTTCTTCCATATTAATAAATTTAATATAAAGTTTTAAATTTAGCAAATTAATTCTTAAATTTTTTTTTACTTGTCTTTTGCAGATCCAAAACTCTTTGGAAAAAAATGAAATCCCGAAGATACTTATAATTGAGCCTCTCTTGATCAATTGTTTAACGAGTAGAAATTGCTGAAAATTAAAGCTACTATACTCTATTCAGTATTTTGGCTCGAGATAAAAGGAAATATTTGAAAGGGTAAGTGTAAATTATTTCTAATAAAGTAAATCATAAGAATTGATTCTGCTACATAACATTATAACCAGAACTTAGACGGGTCCAATTTGATATTCGATGATCATAATTGGGATGACTTGTGAATTCCATAAAATTCGAAATTTCTACCGTGAATGAAGCCAATAAGCCGAGAAAATGTGGATGGATTTGAAATATGATTAAAATCTTTCAAATTTTATTTGAAATTTTAAACTTAATTTTATATATATCAAAATGTAGAAACTATAATACTTACGAAACCTTATATATGCAAATTTGTTCTAAAAATTCAAAATTTTTCCTTAAATTCAAAACTTTCAAAACTGTACAAAATTTATTCAATTTTTCTTGTTTTCTTTTCAAAACCACTACTATCTAGAACTAAAATCTCTTTAACATGCAAATCACCTACAATTATTCAAGCAAATTATAATTTCATACTTGACTCACAAGTTGATTTCATTCACTTTTAACTTTTATTTTTTATTTTTCTTTTTTCAAGTTTACTTTCTTAATTAACACCAAACTGAATGAATTTTATAATTAAACTGACTACGAAAAGTTTACAGAATCTCAAACGTAACATTTTCTTAATTTTTAAATACAAAATATTTAAGAATTTTATTTCCCCGGAAAAATAAAAAAAAAGGTGTAAATTTTAAAGATAAGCATTTAATTGTTATTATATGTACATAAATGTATGTGTGTTTGGATATAGAATATATATATATATACATATATATATACCTACACTATGTGCATTTTAACACTATCACTCATTGATCAAATAAATCATATAAAATCTTTTAAATTTCTTTTCTAAATAAATGATATTGACTTGGCCCAACATTAGGGTATATTTAATTTTGTACTAATGAAATGGATAAATAAAATTCTTTTATAAAATTTTAACTTAAGTTAGTTTGTTAGTTAACTAGTTAGAGAGGGGGAGTGGCGGCCTAAACGTTGCCACCCAGCATTTGACCAGTAAAAGTCCGATCGGCACCCGTCCAAAACACACCCCTCCCGCAAAATGCATTGAAATTCCTTAAAAAAGTATAGCAGACCACACACAAGCCGCTCCGAAAGCTCCTACAACCCGTCGAACCAATATCCAACCTGCAAAAAGCATCTCGTCTTTAATTTTAACATATCCTGATATTTACAAATACAAATCTCTTGGACAAGCTTGTCGATTTAAAAAGTCGCCTTCTGCATTTTGGTAAAAACCGAAAAGAAACATCAAGATGTCAATTTTTACCAAAACTATGGGAAGTTATACTTTTTAAAAATTTAAGAAAATATTGTTGAACTCTTTTCTTCCAGAAGGTTAATTGAATGGGTACTAGAATTTGGGTGCATAATATGCACTACACTTCCTCAACTGATTATAAACGGAACAATAATTTTTGAATTTTCTAGAAAGTTTACAGTTTCTTTTAATTATAATACATATATAACATATATATGTATATATTATGAATTACGATTTACAATTTTTTAACATAATAAAATCGTAATTTATTTAATTCACATTTAAAGGTGAATAACACTTAACTGATTCAAAAAATTGCATTCAAGTAGGAAAATTACCTGAAGAATTTATTTTACAATTATTAAAATTAATTGTAAAAAAAAAAGAAAAGCTAAAAAATTCGGAAAGAAAAAAAGTGATTCGGATATTTGATAATTTGGTTTAGATACCGAATGGATACGTACATTTTTTATTATACAGGGGTCATTTTAATTATAAAGGGCGCGCTACCATCTTATCGAATGTAAATGTTGGGCAATCCAGCCGGTTCAGAAGTTCGGGCTGGTTTGAATGAGGGACGGAAAGGGAGAAATCCGGTGATACTGATTTTGAATGCCTTCTAACACTTGATGTGTTAGAAGGCATTCAAAATCACTCTTTACGACATTCTTCACGGCCACAAAATAAACAAAATTTTTTAAAATGACTTGTTGACTAAAACCAAGAGAATTTAATCGAGAATCGTTTTATCAATTGTAATCGAGAAGAAGAGTTGTTCTCCCTGATCACCTCCTGAAAGCTCGTCCTGTAATATGAGCAGTAACTGCTTGTTTTGAATATGCGGAATTAATCCCAATAATGAAGAGAAATATGGCCATCTGTCATTTCTCCAAAATTCAATTAATTTTTTCTGTAATATGATTACAAACCTCAAGTATACATTAAGATTAGATCAGTAGTTCAAATTTCAAGTGAACTGTAAATTTTATTACAGTAAATTGTAAAATGTTATTACAAAATTCTCTGAAACCCATTTTATAATTATTATTATTGGTTAGTTTGAAATTTTTATTGTTAATTGGAAATCTCTACTAAATTTTATTTCTAATTAATCTTCTCTAATTTATCTTGGTTTAATTTAACTAGAAAAATAATGTAGCGCTGGAATTCTTAATGTATTTTATGAATTAAAAATTAAACAAATTAAATATTTGCTTTTAGATGCAATTTATTCTAGTTTCAGAATGGAAAAAAGAAATTATTATTTTAATATTTAATTATGTTTAATTAAATTTAGTGCACATTTTCCCATACTCAGATTTATTTTTAGTATATAAGAGCATCTTTGTAAATAATTAATATTTAATATAAAAAAAAATGAACAAATATTTGCATTCAAGTCCGTCTGCATTCATTTTCATCTCATAATATAATGAGTAAGACATCGTTAGGATAGAAAAGTGAATTATTTACAGGGCCACTACTAATGTATAATGATATATACAGTTCTACATAGTAAGGTGTAAATGCTACAATGTGAAAATAAATATTAAATAAAAACGTGATAGTTTTCATGATATAATTTATGAGGTACCTATATAATAATTTTTAACAGACTAACAGGCTATAAAAATTTTACAATTTCTATTTTATTATTTTAAACTCTATACTTATATTTTGTCATGTACAATTATTTGAGATTCTATGCAAAACAAAGTAATTTTATTTTTCCAAAATTTATTTTTATTTGTATACTAATATGCTCGCATACTAACATCACAAAGCAAACAGAATGTATGTGATCTAGAAGTAGCTATTAACACAATTTAGTTAGAAGTTAATTCGAGTTCACGTTGAATACACACAACCAGTCATTTTTAAACTAGATGATATTCAATTAAATAGGAAGCGGGTTAGTGACTTTAATATTTTTGAGTTCAAAATTAAATTTTAAAAAGCAGGCCTATACGAATTTTCGAGATAATTAAAATTAATTAACTCACATTTTTGTTCTTATTATTTTTCATACTAAGAAATAGTAAAACAATTATTATAATGCGAAATTTTTTTTTTTTAAATCGTTCGTTCAGCTCGAAGATAGTAATTAAATCGACAAAGCAATTCGCAATTTGGAAAAATAAGAAATAAGTAAAGGCGAGTTAAATATATTTAGAATTTAAGATGTACCATAGAATTTTCCATGGTGTACCAATCAATTTTCATATGAAATTATTCAGGTACTTCTTGAAAAATACATCATTCTCCAAAAATTTTAACCAACTTTCATCTGAAATTTCACATGTATTTTGGTACATTAGCCTCATATAAAAGAGTCCAAACATTTTCCGTGGTACTTGGAAAATTTATTTCATTTTAAGTTTCTAAGGCTATTTAGTCATGAAAACCTTATATAAATAATTTTGTAGAGAAGTCATCTACATATGATTAAAAATCTAATATTTTTTATCGTAAATCATTTTAGAATTGATATGATAATTATTATTATATAGCTAGCCTGTCATAATATTTAATCCTCCAAACAATATAGCTGCCATAATATAAAATATTACCATAATCTCTTAATATAATGTTGATTTTCCCTAATTTTTTTTTTATGGGATTAACTTGTTTATGTCACAAATTTCAAAAACAAATTAATAATTACTTTTGCAAAATATTTACAAGGATAAAAGATAACAAAGCAGAGCAAGTGATTATAACACTAAATATTATTCACAAATTTGAATGTCGACAACATCTAGTCTAGTCTAGAAATATTTTGAACTTTGGAATCATAGTTTGGACACAATGATTATGAACATAAACTGAGATAGCAGGGGTTATGTAAACACTAAAAATTTAAATGAAGTAAGAACTAAAAAAAATATGTTATTTTTCTTTGATTTCTCTTGAAATTCAATTGTCCACAATTGTTCTCACATCATTTAAAACATGTTAAAATATCTCTCTTCTTGTAGTGTTGAAGTTTAAACATTATGTTTAAACACTCATAGCAATTTTCAATTTTAGCCTTATATACTTTTTTTTAAATCATTTTTACGCATCTTGAATTTAAAACTACGAAATTACGATTAATATTGAAAATTATCATGCAGTATTGTATAGCTATTACCTTTTTATTCTAACTTCATATTTGTCTGATATAAATCTTTCTCTGTTTCCGTAATTTTCCATTTACAGGGTTGCCACTTTATTTCAGTAAGACTTTTTTCATTTAGTAACAAAAACATTATTGACTGTTAATAATTAAAGTGTTTTAAACTTGCAGCTACAATTCCAGATTTTGACGAGGATGTTTCTGAAACATTAAGATTGATAAGGTTGCTCTTACAAAAAATGCAGTAATAGCTGCCAAATTGATTTCCATAGAAATTGCTACATTTTCCATTAAATTGTCTCATGGTTATTCTATCATACAATACAGTGCAAACGGTCGATTATTGTCTTTAACTTGGTCTTAATGGCAATCCAATTTTTCTATCCCGTGCTCTTCATAAACTTTTTTTCGTCTATAAAATTTCATGTTATTTATGTGTGTGCATACATAATTTTCGTTATGTTATCTTTTGTTCAAAAACAATAATAACTTTAGGTGGACAATAAAATAGGCGCGTATTGCGCACCTATGCTATTCAATTATTTTTTTTTTTTTGATTTGTAGATTTAATATGGAAATTTCGTGATAAAAGACAGCGAAATGTGGGAG